TGCGGCCCGGGGTGCCGGGGGCTTTCTGGGCTGCCAGCGCACATTGCCGGCTCGTGGGGAGCTTCTCATCCACCAACACCCCCAAAGTCCTTCTCCTCAGGGCTGCTCTCCATCCATTCCCAGCCCAGCCTGGATCTGTGCTTGGGATTGCCCCGACCCATGTGCAGGACCTTACACTTGGCCTTGTTGAACTTCATGAGGTTGGCACGAGTTCACCTCTCCAGCCTGTCCAGGTCTCTCTGGATGGCATCATCCCATCCTTCCAGCATGTCCACCACACCACACAGCTCGGTGTCATCGGCAAACTTGCTGAGGGTGCCCTCAATCCCAGCATTCATGTTACCAACAAAGATGCTGAAGGGGAGAGGCAGCGAGGCCGTGGGGCACAGGGGGAGCTGTGGCATGGTGGGGCCATGCCCCGTGCTCTGCTATCCCAACTGCTCTCCTCAGCAGGTTGACTCCAGCAGGACACACGCGGGGGGGTTGGCCATGGAGCCTGCGGTGCTAGGAAGCCTCTCACCCATTCCCTTCCTTCATCCCTCCTTCGCAGCAGACCCCTTCCAGCCTACTCACAGCCCCTCATAGCACCGGGACCATTCAGACTCGCACACAGCCCCTGAGGGACACCCCGGGGCTCCAACGCGTTGTGGGACACAGCCCACCCCATTGCAGCAGGTCAGGCCTCCTGCTCAGCACGTCCCCCTGCAGCATCCCCGCTGCTGCTCTGGGCTTGGTTACGCCGCCAGTTTGAGCCACACAGTGAGGTCCCCCCAAGCTGAACAAATTCCCAGTGTTTTCTCAGTGTTTCTCCCACTTGCAACCTGCTGCGCTTCCTCTTTCCTTTTCCTTTTGAGGCCAACCCGGAGACAAGCTCTCCTACCACAGTAAGAAGGACAGCAGATGGTCTTTGCCTTGTGCAAATCCTCTTCCCCGAACAACATCGTGGGTCCCAGGAACACCTTGAAGCAGAGAGGGGGAGAGAAGAAGGGAGCTGCAGCCATCAGCACTCCCTACTCCTTTACACCCGGGACCCACTCCCAGCCGGTGCAGCCAGTGCCATGGAGGGAGAGGCCGATAATCAACGGAGAGTGCTGAACCTGGTGGCTGTATTTGAAGAGCATGGGTAAGGAGGGAGCGTCCTGGGGGCTGTGGGTGTATGAGGACTCCCTGGTGTGTGGGTTTTGGAAGGAAGAAACCCACTGTGGAGGTGGTTTGGAGGCTGTGGAGAAGCTGACTAGGCGATTTGCTATTTTTTAGCACTCGTCTCTGCCCCAATGTCCTCCTCCTGCTGCAGGTCATGGACAGAAGACTGAAAACCTCAGTGGGATGTGACTGACTTTGTTGGAGGTTTCTGTGCCGGGCCCAGGGTTAGGTTGTGGCATGCTTTTTCCCTCCGTGCTCAGCACCTTTGAAGTCAACCTGGCCAGTGAATGCTTTTGGTGTTTTGCCAGTGAATCTTTTTTGGGGAAAAAAGATTTTGGTTTGCAGATATGTTGGCAGGGGTCTTCACTGGGAATTAACCACTTGAGCGTCTGGGAGGATCCAAACCTCAGGCACCAGCCTCAGACTATCCAGTTGTTTGCAGCGATGTGGCTCCTGGAAGGGGAAGAGAAAGCATCATGTTAAGGGGAAGAGCAAGTTCCTTTTGAGCAGCATGGAAGCCCCATAAAACAGCAGCTTCACTTGGAGCATGAGCTGGGACCCACAGACAAGACATACCAGAGTCGGAGTGAGGGGATCTGCCTTGCCTGTGGTGTAGAAGTAATTCTGAGGCTTGGGGGGAGCCATCGTTGTGGTCCATCCTTCAGTTTCCCCATCTGTTGAATCAGGAGGCCAAATCTTGCCTTTCCTTCTATCAGTGAGGTGCTCTCAGTGAGCCTTAATGAAGCTGTGTGGTTGGACAGATGAGTTTTGCAAGACTTCCTGAAGATGGTCAGGCACGAGATTTCCTTCTGCTCCCAGACCTTCGCCTGCATCTCCATTGCATGCTTAGCCCCAGGCTTTGTGCTCTGGATGGCTCCAGAGCACTGTGGTTGTCCCCATGGTCCCACAGATGAAATTTGGCCTGTGATGTTGTTGTGTTGGAACTATTTGCGGCGTTTTGTTGCCACAGTGTGTTTGTTGGTTATTGTGAAGCATGAGTTTGATTTTGAAAGGCTGAGAGCGCTGGGACTCTTCAGCCTGGAGAAGAGAAGGCTGAGGGGAGACCTTATTATTACTTACAAATATCTAAAGGGTGGGTTGAAGGAGGATGGAGCCAGACTCTTCTCGGTGGTTCCCAGTGACAGGACGAGGGGCAATGGGCAAAAGTTGGAGCATAGGAAGTTCATTCCAACACACAGAGAAACTTCTTTACAGTTGGGGTGGCAGAGCAGTGGCACAGGCTGCCCAGGGAGGGGGGGGAGTCCCCTTCTCTGGAGATTTTCAAAACCCGCCTGGATGCAGTCCTGAGGGATGTGCTCTGGGCAGTCCTGCTTCAGCAGGGGATAGGGACGAGATGATCTCTAGAGGTCCCTTCCAACTCTGAACATTCTGTGATTCTGTGATTCTGTGATTTAGAGGAAATAAAAGTAACTTATGACTTTCAGGGGAAGCTGGGGAAACTGGAAACAAGTTTTCTGGAACAGAGAACAGTTTAGTCCAAGTCAGCTCAAACAGAAAGAGAGAAGTTCCCTGTCGAATCTTGGCAGTGGGTTTAGGCTGGCACGGGTCTGGGAGGCACCAGGAGGGACAGATAAAGCCTTTCTGTCACATGAAGGCTTATGTCAGCCCCCACAGACAGGAGGGGATGCGTGAGTGGCTGTGGATGCCCTCCCGAGCCACAGACATGTGCTTATCAGCGTGTGGATGTAGCCATCATCCTCTTCAGATGCGCATATGCCGCTCAAGTTATCTCCTATCCTCAACTTTGCAGTTTTATGTCCAGTTTCATCCTGGTTTTCCCCTCCTCATCCCACCCCTGTCTGCAAGCCACTGATGGATGTTTTTCCAGGTTCTGCCTGGAGCAATTTACTACAGGAACCAGCTCTCAGGTG